GGAAGTACTTAATATGCATCTTAAATAAATCCTCTAGTAAGAAATGGAGAATTCACTGCCTTTAGTTTGAAGGCTTTGTAGCTTTCTGTCAAATTCTATGTGCAGCTCACCAACATTCCCTTATTAGAAATATCAGAAATTTCTGAATCATAGTTTTCAAAAGGACTTTAAAGTCTTACAATTCTGAATCTCCCTTGGCTTGCTTCTCTCTTGATTCCACCCAAGCTTTGTTAATGGTTCACTTCATATCATCATCTCCATCTTCATAAATCTTCTTTAAAACATTCATTAATCCCTCACTCGGATCTGTCTCGGCATCGTAGGATGGCTTTTCTTTTTCTTTGCACTCTTTCTCAACCTGAGTTAAGTGTTCCCACGGAGTGTTCTCTGCTTTCTTTCTACACAAGATAAGAACTGTGTCAGTCTTGACTTTTTTTGAACTGCTTTCCACTGAGATGGGCTTCAAGAGGTTGTTTACAATCATGGAGTCATTCTTCCCATTTAGATTCTTTACCAAAACATCAAATGACCTCTCTGTGAAATGCACCTGCACACTCTCAGCAGGAACCTGATGAACTCCAGCTAAGTTCATGTAGTTTTCACTTACTTTTTTTTTTTTTTTCGGAACCGGGAATTGAACTCAGGCCCTTGCGCTTGCCAGGGAAGCGCTTATTCCACTGAGCCATCTCCCCAGCCTCCATCCATAATTACTGATCTTCACTGTGTATCCTGTTGTGATGGGAACAACCACATTGGCTGATTTTTCATTGTCAAGAAGTTCTGATTTCTTCTGTGATTTTTGTTGCATCTTATTCTTTATTTCTGTTTCAATCTTGGATTTTTCAACTGTCAGGGTATCACGTACTCTCTTCCTAGTAGCCTTTTCCAGTAATGCCTTTACCTCTTCTAGATCATTCTCTAACTCCTCCAGAGCCAAAGCCATGGTCGGGCGGGGTTGGATTTAAAGCCGGAGCTGCAGGCAAGCACGCAATGACAGGAACCGCTGTAGTCCGCCCGGGCGAGGACCTCAGCAGCGCTAGCCGCGGGCCAGCCACTGTGCGAGTGCCCAACCGCAGCCCGCCCTCCGCACACCTTTTTATGTCATTTGTGTTGGCTCCTTCTTTCTCACTGATGCCTATTTTAGTCTTACATTGTTCATCTTTGCGTTGTCTTGTAGCTGTTGAATTATGTCCCGGATGGATCCCCGGCATGCTGTGCTGACCCCATCCCTGGGGCACGCTGAGACAACGAATGAGACTGGGCACGGTGACGCACGCCTGTAGTCCTAGCTCTTGGGAGGCTGAAAACAGGAGAATCACTATGAGTCTAATCTATGTAGTGAGGTCCTATACACCCTGTAGACCCTGTCTTAAATTCATAAAAATAAAGAATTATTATGTTCTGTATCTTTGTATTTTTATTTCCTTTCCTGGTCACTAGCTTCAACTCTGTCTTAAGGTCTGAAAGTCTATCTTCACTTTTATTCAAACAGTTTTGCCAACTTTTAATTGAGATTTTAATTTTCTGTATATCTCTTTTAATCTGTTTTATGCATTCTATTTCTTTCCTATATTGCTCATTCAAGGATTCCATTTTTCTATTCTACTCTATTTTTTAAATCAGTGTCTTCTTAGAAGCAGTTAGTAATTTTTTCATTATAAGTAACATTTTTTTTAACCTGGGAGATCATTTCTGATCTGATTTCTTCCAGAGCCTTCTACAGTTATTTTTTTAATTCAGTTGCTATTATTTCAGAGATTTCAGGTGTATGACCTCCAATTTCTTCTGTGTTGATGTTTCCTGAGTTTCTGGGTGGGCTCAGGGCCTGAGGTTGCATTTTTCTCCTTTTTGTCATTTTCTACTTTAGAGAGAACTCCTTATTTTGATTTCTGTGATAGTTTTATGTGTAAGTTTGATAATAGATAGCTATATCAATGCAATCAGAACCTCTCTGTAAAGGGTCTATTCTTTTTTTTTTTTTTGACAACAACATCAAAGTAGGTATATTGAACTGCATCCAGATAAATAAAAAGTTTCCACAGTGCATCCAAATAAAATTATTTCCTATGCATCAGCATAGGAAACTAAAGAATGAAAAGGCACAGCATAGGAAACTAAAGAATGAAAAGGCAGCCTTCAAGTACAGAGAAAACCACTGGCAAATCATCTAGTAGTCGATAGGGATTAATATACAAAATATTGGAATTGAAGTCCTTATAAGTTCAAGAATCCAAAATATTTACAAATGAACAAAAAACAGGACCTAATGACAATAGATTAATTTTAAAAGGGCAAAGTACCTAGGCGGGAAGATTCCTAGGGTTAAAGGTCAATCTGGGCTACATAGTTTGCTCAAGGCCAGCTTGAACTACATTACCAGCCCTACCTCTAGGAAAAAAAAAAAAAGTTGGGGGGCTGATGACCTGAGGTTGGAGCATTTGCTTCCAGCGCGGAGTCTTTCCTGCAGTCTCCTCTTTCTCCACTGGGGTGTCAAGGGTCTATTCTGTAGGTATCTCTCCTGCATCAGAGATTCATTTATTTACTTACTTACTTACTTACTTACTTACTTATTTATTTATTTATTTTGAGGTACCAGGGATTGAACTCAGGCCCTTGTGCTTGCCAGAGAGATTCTTGTTTTATATGTGTCCCAAGATTTTGCCTTCTCTATTGATTGGTTTCATTTGGCACTGGCCTCCATTTTTCAGTATAGAGTTTTGGTAAGGTTATTACCCAGGCACCTCCCAATATCATTACCCAAAGGAGAACATGTGGTTAAGGTAGATACGGTATCCTATTTACAGTAGTATAATTAGCAATAATAACAGCTAGAGAAATTTAGAAATTGACAAAATTTTGTAACTATTGGGTCTGTAGTTTAGACCATAGAAGCAAACATTATAGATATATAACAAAGCAGATTATAAATTGAAATTTGTATTTAAATTAGTTCCTCCTGAGTTCTGTCTGGGCACCTCCTCTTCATGTACCCGGAGTCTTCCAGAAAGACTAGTTCACCCAAGTTACTCCCTGTCACCTCTCTGCTAAGAGGATCTTCCTGTACGTATGGGCCTCATCCTGGGCCCCACTGGACCTAGCAGTGTGCCTCAGGTCACTGGGTGTAGTTCTACCAAACTTGAACTCAACCAGCCAGGCCTGGCTGGGTCTGGCTTCTGTGCTTGTTTCCTTTCAGCTGGGCTCCACTGAAGTTGGCTGCCTGGGCCCTACTGGCTACTGGGCTTGGAAGCTCCTCCGGGTGCGCATCACTGAAGTGGACCCGGTAGCTCCTTTGGCCCTTTTTTTTAGCACAATGTCCACTGATTGACTCATGTCTTCTGGGATCCAACAATCTCTCTTTTTTTTTTTTTTGGCGGAACCGGGGATTGAACTCAGATTCTTGCGTTTGTCAGTCAAGCACTTATCCTACTGAGCCATCTCCTCAGCCCCAACAATCTCAGTATTTGTAGAGGACCACCTAGGCTACTCTCTTTAAAAGAGGAACAGTTGTCTCCATTTTGGCTGAGCCTGCCCCTGATTCCATGCATGTATATATTCAAGCTGACTAGGACTTTTCCTTATCCCTTCAATTGGCTTTAAGCAATGCCTAGCAGTCCAGCTGAGGTGCTGGCAGTAGTCTTTGAAGATGGCAGGTGTGTTTCCCTGAAACCCTCACCTGGTGCTTCCTTGTGTGAGCTGGAATGAGACAGGATGAAGAGCCAGTGCTCCACTCTGTCTCTGTTTGGCTGGGATTGAGCCTCAAAATAGAGTTTATGGGCTGGTGAGATGGCTCAGTGGTCTAAAGCACCTACTTAGAACAAGCTTAGCAAAGCACAGGGACCGCGGTTCAATCCCCCAGCACCACATGCCAGCCAGCCCCGCCCCCTGGTGGGCTGAGCTGGCCACACACACACACACACACACACACACACACACACAAATAAATAAAATTAAAAAAAAATAGAGTTTATGACTTCCTAGAACTTGAAAGATTACTCATTAAAGCAGAAGCACAGATGCCCTAAACATTAGATTCTATTTCAATTGTGTTATGCAGATTACTCTTTCTGCATATTTTTCTCTGCATATTGCAGAAGTGATTTATCTAGCCCAGCTCACAGCACTCACCTACTTCCTCCCATTGTCACAGTCACTCATCCTCAAGTCACTCCTTTCTTCATGAATGACTAAAACACAGGTCCAGCTTTAGGCTGAGGCCTTTGTTCCAGATAGCTATCACTGTAGCTGGACTTAGGAGCCCTTGGCTCCCCATAACTGCAAATAAGCCTTAATATTTTTATTCTTGCCCTGGGCTGCACTGGAAATGGAGTTTGAGTCACCCACCAGAATTGTATGATCCTTTTTGAGAGGTCCTATCATCTATCCCGGGTCTTTGTTGACCTTAGAGGGCCAGGGCCAGAATACTGGCTATCCTTATAGCTCAGTTATCTTTATCTTTTGTAGTATTAGTTTCTAAGCCTCAGTTGTTGAACACCCAAGACATCAGTTACACCCATATTGAAAAGAGAGTAATAGGTTAAACTATTTTAATTTTATCTGGCTATCAAGCACTTTCAAACATAAAGTATATAAAGTATGGGTAAAAAATTGTTCCGTGTGTGTGTGTGTGTGTGTGTGTGTGTGTGTGTACCTTTTTAAAAAAATAACTAATTAGTGTTGTCTTAGAATAAATATTCCTGGCCAAGCATGGTGATGCATGCCTATAAGCCAGCACTCAGAAAGGTAAGTGGAGAGGATCAGCATGCATTTGAGATAGCATGTCATGTTTTTGAGAATGTCTTATGTGCAGCTGAGAATGTATATTCTGATATTGCTGGGTGGAACACTCTGTAGACATCTACTAAGTCTATATGTTCAAAAGTTTAATTTACTTCTGGTCTTTCTTTGTTGATTTTTTTTTATCTATTCATCTCTCTATTTGCAATAGTGGGTATTGAGGTCCCCTTTACAACTGTATTAATGCTTTTTTTTTTTTTTTTTCAGAACCGGGGATTGAACTCAGGCCCTTGTGCTTGCCAGGAGAGTTCTTATTCTACTGAGCTATTTCCCTGGCCCCTTTAATTTTTTTCTTTTCCTTTCTAATGACTCTTAAATTTTTTTTAAATTTATTTATTTGTGTGGGGGGGGGCAGTTCAGCCCACCAGGGGGCAGGGCTGGCTGGCATGTGGTGCTGGGGGATTGAACCAGGTTCCTGTGCGTTGCTTAGCTTGTTCTAGGTAGGTGCTTTAGACCACTGAGCCATCTCACCAGCCCGTATAATGACTCTTTTGACTGTTTTTTTGTTTTGTTTTGTTTTGCGGAACCAGGAATTGAACTCAGGCCCTTGTGCTTGCCAGGCAAGCGCTTATTCTACTGTGCTAGCTCCCTGGCCCATACAACTGTATTAATGCTTATCTGATTTTTTTTTATTTTGTTTTGCTTTTGAGATAGGGTTTCACCATGTAGTTCAGGCAAGCACTGGGATTATAGGTGTGTACTACCTCTCCCAACTGCTATTAATATTTTGGGGAAATATATATATATATATATATATATTTCTTTTGTAAAAAGACATTTAGGTATTTGGTATAGGTTCTCACTCCACAGCTTGGACTCATACTGATCCTTCTGTTTTCAGCCTCCCCAGCACTGGGATTACAGGCATGTGCCACCTTGACTGGACTTTGTTACCAGCTCAGTGCACCCTGGGGGTTGGGCCAGCACAGCCTGTGGGACTGGGGATCAAACCCTGGTCCCTGCACTTGCCAAAGCAGGCACTTAGTCCACTGAGCTATCTCATCGGCCCTGCTATTGATTTTTGAGTGTTGACTTTGTATCCAGCTATGCTACTACACTTAGTTATTAAATCTAGAAGTCTATGGGGCCAGGAGATCGCTCAGTGGCACATATGCCTGCCTGGCAAGCACAAAGTCTTGAATTCAATCT